GACTAAAATATGAACAAATTCACTCAGAAAGAGTATACATAATAAATACACAGTGGCATGTCTAACATCCTCTGAATCATAAATATCGATTAAAACAAGTTTTCAGTTCCCCCCTCCTACATTAGCAATAAAAAACTACAGTACACAAAACTGGCACTCAGTGAAACTGATATTCTCATATATTCATAATGATATTTTAAATTGTTATATTCCTTAGGAAAGGTTTCTCAGGATATATATCAAGTACTGAAAAAAAAATTTCATTTTCACTGATCCCAAGGAAATAATCTGAAGTATGGAAAAAGACAAATACATCAAGATATTGATCAGTGTTACTTGTAATTAAAATGATCACACAATTTATTATCCAAACCTATTACTTTCAAGAGTACAAGGGGCGCTATTTATAGTTAATCCTGGACAATGGGTATACAGCAGAATCATCATGAGCAAATTAGAATGTATGGCCATCCTATTTATAACAGCCAGAACAAGACAATTTGATAATGACTTAAAAGTCTAATAGTTGAATCCCTAAGTATCATGTGATAGATCCTTATAATGGGATGTTATTCAGCAATCCCTAGAGAAAAAAAAAATGTATGAGCTAAAATACTTTAAATGGGCTATAAAATCCTTTATATTATTAAAATTAAGTAAAATCAAGCATTTATGGAAACAGGAAATACTTTAAAATCATAATAGTTATTTTAGAGAGATGTTCATGGTTCAAGTTTTTTCCATTATTTAATTTTCCAAATTTCCTGTAATGTGTTTTAGAATTTTAAAAATATGTATGCTTCATAATACTTGAGAGTGAGAATCATTACAGTTTTTCGATCTGGTCCAACTTACTTTATGTATGAGGATGTTGACGCACAGAGATGGTACAGGGCATGGCCAAAGTCAGGTGCCTCTGCTAGACATTCTGGACAAAGAGGTTAATCTAGCTTCTCACTCACAACAAGGGCTCTGACCACTTCACCACGCTACCTTGAAGATGGTAGCATTGTGTCTTGCAACCTGACACTTGATTTTCTTTTTTTTTGGTATTTAAAATTATCTGTACTCTGTTTCACAAGTCAGGAGAAGTTTAGATTACTTCTTTTAAAATTTGAAACTTTAGTAAACAGGCTTATTGGCTAGATTTATTTTTCTCTGGCTCCCATAATTCTGTATGTGTTGCTAATCTCCTTACATGTTTAGGGAGGAACAAGAAATCTGGATAATATATAGCAATACATGTCCTCAAGTTGAAAACACTTAACTTTGGAACGTTACCCGTCCTTTGCTCATTTCCTTTGTGCTCTACCGTCAACCGTTTCTCAGCACACAGTGCAGGAATCTGACTGGGTGTTGAAGTAAAAAGTCCCAGATTCCCACAGATGATTCATTGTTAGGAATGGTTAAGTGTACTCCTGAATAGTTTTCTGCTTTAAGGTGATTATTCATTGATCAGGTAATCAGTGAGTGGCAAGGCTTACTAGGAGCCCATATATAAAAAATTTAGACCTCTAATAAGGTAGAGTTTTTGTTGGGTCCTCATTCTTTCACTCTGGGCCTCGTACATGGAACAAAGTTAGCTTGCATATCGCTTGAGGCTGCACATGCTACGTTTAAGTTAATTTTGTGTTGCTAATGTTGGATGGTGATGATGATGGGGGTTAATTAACTTCTGTTAATCAATGATGCCACCTGGTGGCCAGAAAGTGCATTTTGTCGTTCCCTTGTAAGCTGCACCAACCTTTTTTTCTTTGATATAAATAATCTCAGTAGCATCTGAGGCATTTTTATTAGTGAAGTTTTGAAAAATGCTTAGTTTGGGTTGGCAGAAGCAGGGCAGTCATGGAATACTACGGGTCTTACATGGCAATGTGAAATGACTACTCTGCTGTTCTCATTTCTTTTAAATGAAACTCCTGCAGGATAATAGGTACTAAAGGGTACGTAGTAAACAATTCTCTGTGACCAATGCAGGCATGTCTGTCTGGTCTCCCTTCCTGGGTTTCACCTGGATTGTAACAGTCACTGGGCCAGCTGGTGGTTTCAGTGTTCTTCCTGTCTGACTCAGAGGGTGATCAGTCATGTTCTCATTCTGCAATTAAAAGGCGTGGAGTGGTTTTTTTTTTAAGATTTTATTTTTCCTTTTTCTTCCCAAAGCCCCCCAGTACATAGTTGTATATTTTTCGTTGTGGGTCCTTCTAGTTGTGGCATGTGGGACGCCACCTCACCATGGCTTGATGAGTGGTGCCATGTCTGCGCCCAGCATCTGAACGAGGGAAACCCTGGGCCACAAAACCGGAGCATGCGAACTTAACCACTCGGCCACAGCACTGGCCCCAAGGCATGGAGTAATTTTTAACTGAGGGTAGCGTGCACTTGTCTTCCTTGAAAAAAAAGGGTGGATGGATGGATATATTGGAAAGTTGAATTTCTAAAATTCAGTTTTGGAAGTTGAATTTTAAGATTTTAAAAAAATTGTCAAGGAAAGTAAACCTAACTCCATTACTTCCTTAATCAATAGCATGATTTTGCAACATGTTAGTGGTAGGTTTTCTGCTCAGCCAGTTTGTCTATTTCCATTCTGTTCCTGAAAGTTCAGGTTGGCAGGCAGCAGCTGAGCTTGAGTACAGGGAAAGAAAAAGCAACTCAGAAGCCTATCGGGCTCAACACAGTGATTCTGAGGTCAGGATTTCCTAATACGGACATCTCCCAGTGAGCTCTGTTGGTTTAGAGAAATGTCTCAGTTTGTGTGGATATACTCCTGTATGAAAGAACAAGAATTGAAAACAAAATAGAAACTTGCCATGAATCTGATACTTAGGTAAATCTGCTTTCCTCTCCACAATATTCAGCTAACTAGAAGCTCTAGGGAACGTTGCTTTTGATAAATGAGGTAGCCTAGGCGTTGAGAACATCTAAGAAGAGTACAGTTTTCTCCCCAACCCTGTCACTCTCATAGAAAAGTCAAATTGTTTCAACTCACCAAACATGGCATATATGGAATGCATTCTGAGCGGGGTCAGAGTGAGATTAAGTTGATTTTCCATCTCCACATGAGGCGAAGTGTAAGGTATACCCAACATATTTTGTTAATTTTTGTGGGTTTTTTATCTGTTTGATTGGAAGCATGGTCTCCAGCTTGTGTGTTCAGATAACTTTAAGATCTAAATTGCTGGTGATGGTCTCTGGCAAGACAGAAGCTATGCTGTGGTGCATGAGAGCTTAATGTCGTCATACATGATATCTCACCATGGCTTGTTGCCAGTGCTGCATATTTCTAATGTGCATGTCCAGACTCACACAGGCTTTTGGATCAGTGTCTCAAAGATGTACAGTTTCAGCAGTTGAGTGTGTGTATTTGTGTCACCTATTAAGGTTGAAAAGCTGCCACTAACATCCAAGTTTCCCTTTGTGACTTTGAGCATGACTTCATAAATCCATGGGATGAAATTGTATCTGTTTCATAATACTGCTCAGTGAAGATTGGGTCTGATAGATATGCCTTTAGTCCCCTAATATGCTTTTCCTCTTTCCATTTTCTCAACTCCCACTGGCATTAGGATTAGTTTCAGCCTTTATTGCCTTTTACTTAAACTAAAACACAGTCTTGTCTAAAAAAGTCATTTGTTTTTTATTCATTAAGCATTTCTTGTCCCTTGCATGCAAAGGCCCTTGCTAAGTGCTATGAGAGATAGAAAGATGAATCAGATGTGGGTCCTACCCACAAGGAGCTTTGAGTCTAATGAAAAGGAAAATGGTAGAAGGCATAAAGTGAGTAACTGCTGTGTCATGTATTATTCAAAGGGAGACAATATTTCTTTCAAATGGAAAATTTGGTAGGAGAGAGGAATTGGAGATGAGCCTTGAAGAGTATTATGAATAGAATTTTTATATGCAGAGACAGGAAAGGATTCATCAGAAGGGAACATTAGAGACAAGTATGGAGCCAGGGAACACATGAAAGTATTTAAGGAATTGTGCAGAATTAGATGTGGGCAAGAACAAAGAGCCTGTGTTAGGCAAGAGCAAGGGAGAAAAATCAGAAAAGTCAATAGGGACCATGTAGTGGGGGACTTTAAATTCCAGGGAATAGAATTTGTTTTAATTTGATAGGTAATAGAAAACCATCCACCATTTCTCAACAAAGGAGTATTCCCTTGAAATCCTATGCCATTCCTTGGTGTTAAAGATTTATTAAATATAACCTATTGCTTTAATTTTTTTCTGTATTGTAAGAACCACTATATACCATGTTGCTTATTTACAGACTGTCTTCATCTAGACCAGGATTTCTCAACCACAGCCCTGTTGACATACTGGGTCAAACAGTTCTTTATTGTGGGGCTGTCGTGTTGATTTGTAGGATGTTTAGCAGCATCCCTGGCCTCTGACCACTAGATGCCAGTAGCACCCCCTTCCCCCTAGTTGTGACAATCATAAATGTATCCACACATTTCCAAATGCCCCCTGGGGGCAAACTCACCCCCATTTGAGAACCTCTATTCTAGACATGTGTATTGTGTTCCTCTGGTGTTCTGGGCATTGTTAGACTCTTGGATTTGTCAATGTGCCTTAATGCTTAATGCATCCAATCTATTAATGCTTGGAATTATGTACTAGATGTACATCTGATCTTGAGATTAAGTTATTTCATATTTGTTGGAGTAAAAGAGCTAAACTACGCCTCAGGAGACCTGGATTCTAGTCCTGGCTCTGCCACAAAGGGGTTTTGTGACTCGAGTGAGATCTTGTACTTGGTAACCTGATTCTTACCTCTAAAATGACCAGTGTGACTTCTGAGGCTCTTTCCAGCTCTGATTCTGTGTCCTGATTTCAAATTGATCTTAGAGCTTTATTCTTTCACATTTTTAGAAAGCACAAATTGAACTAACATGTCTATTAACCAACAAGATTGACTGAAGTATTGAATAAGAAAGACAAATTTTTTTCCTTAGTGCTTTAGTGTACTAAATACTATAATTTTTTTCCTTTTCTAGATTATTTGAAAAATCTCTTAGAAGACTCTGGAGATTACAGAGACACTCAAGGTAAATAAGTTTTGTGGTCTTATATACTGTGGAAGTTTTTATATTATGTTTATTTGGACCTAGAAAGTGAAAATATAACAAAACCCGTAGATAAGACTCCATTTTATTCATAAGAAGCCTTTTTTTTTTTTTACTCTATTTTGGGCAGATTAAAACAGAACTAGATAAAATGGCAAATGGTATTGGATGCAGGTAAAATTATAGGGGCAAGAGAGGCCCAGGGCCAGCCAGCCGGGGGAGCCAGCCTCCTGAGAGACAGACCCAGCATGGCCTGGGGTCAGGAAGCTTCATCCTCCTGTGCTCAGTCACTCTGCTGGTGGTAAATTCACCTTCTCTAGATGTCCATTGCATTCAGAAGCAGGGATTGAACCAGTTGATCTGCAAGATCCTTTCAAGCTTTAAAATCATGAGTCCATGAAGTGACCAAACTACACAGATCAGGGATAAGGTCTACAATAGCATATTATTCTGGGACTGTTTAATGGTGGGTATTAGCTTTGACACTCTTCCACCCCTCACCCCCAGTAGTACTTCAGGGAAATTGTCTATTACAATACAAGAGACTCCTTGGTGTTCATGGGATAATCCACTGTGTGGATTTTTCTCTTTCACACACACATACACACACAGGATTAATTCTGTTTGGGATAGTTGTGTTTCTTTCTATTTATCCCCAAACTACCTCTGTCAAATGTCATAGATATATCCCTGGTTATAGTCTGCAGAAACACATTAAACAAATCCATGTCCACCTCATTAATTTTATGAATTTCTATCACATTCTTGTGCATCCTTTACATTTTCAGATTATGTAGCTGAACAGGTTTTTAACACATTTTGTAGAGATTCTTATTCATTTTCTTATTCATTTGACTTCTTAACATCTTCTATTAGCAAATGTTTTGCTTTTAAAGGTGCTTTTTAAAGGGTAAAGTTTGGAGTGGGGGATATGACAATGCTTCTTGTCTTTGGTGAACATATAATCTAGTTGAAGAAAAAAAGTCTATAACTCTCATCAGATAAAGAACAAAGTAGATGTGCTGAGCACTACAGAATCATTTGGAAGAGAGGAAAGTGTGACGATTGAAGAGGCAGAGCTTTGCTTAGAGAGGAGTGGGACTGGAGATGACCTGAAGGTTGGACAAGAGGAAGAGTGGCCATTCCAGATCAGAGTCTGTCTTATGAAGATAAAAATTTGAGAGAGATCTTAGGAAATCGGGCCTCAGGAAAACGTCAGTCTCAGGGCTTCTACCTTCAAGGAAAGTGAATTATTAGCTCCATGTTACAGATAAAACAAATACAGGGCCAGAGATTAAGGAGCTCGTTTAAAGGAAATTACGCACTTTAGCAAAGATGGGTTAGAATAAGCAGTGAACGGTGAGGTGCACTATATGGCCAGCGGCACAGCAGTAAAATGGTGAGAGACGTAGATGAGATTGCTGAGGGTGAGGGAAAATGAGACAAGTATACCTTTTGAAGGTAGGCAGAAGAGTTAAAGGAGCACAGCCACCAGGGCCCCTTAAAGGGATGCCATGGGAAAGCAGAATTGCAGACAAGATGGAAGAAGGCAGAGCTTAGAGGCCAGGGGACCAAATAGGAGCAGCTTTATCATTTCATCCGTTCATTAAATCCTAAAGCTTGTCTCTCTTCCCACTGGGAATTCAACCAGGCCAGAAACCAGGGACATGTCCAGGGTCACCTCTTGACTATCTGCTATGTGCTGAGTGCCAGGCACAGTAAATTCCCTAAAGAAATACTGCTTTCCTATAACACGTTTAAAGACTATAGAAATCTCCAAGCTTGGTACCAGAAAGAGAATCTCTTGGTAAGTTATAGTAGGTGGACCAAAAAACCTCAAGTCCTCTCCAGAAATTGAACTTTTTAAAAAAAAAATAGTGCTTTTGTTGATAATTACTGTCACTGCCACCCCACCCTCAGGAGACCATGCTTCCCTTCCGTCTTTAACACCAGCAGTTTTTCTCAGTAGGAATGCTACTGTCATGTCGTACGGGATAACCTCCTTGTGTGGATTTCCAGGTAGTATTGCATCCCTGACTCCCACCCACTAAAGGCCAGTGGACCTTCCCAGTCATTGTGACAACCAAAAACTGTCTTTACACGTGTCCAGATGACCCTATGGAGCACTGCTGTCTTGGGTTGAGGACAGCTGTAGCCCAAAAAGGGACCAAGTACAGACTTTTTCCCTTGTATCTAGTTACAAGGATGACAAGACTGGAGCATTCAAAAACATTTTGTTAAAGGCAAGGAGTTAATAAAAAGAATAAAACGCAGATGAAGCTAAATAACCCAGCTCACAAAATAATGTGTATAATTTCCTAAGGTCTAGTATGCTTCGATGTGGCATGTTTTCCCTCTTGGGATGAGACTAAGAGAAGGCAGCGAAGTCCTGACCCTCTTAAATAGTCGCTTCTGAATAGTTCTGGTTTCCTATCCGAGGGTCCTTCTCTACCAAGGCAGTTTATGCTAGAATGGGCCTTAACTTCCAGGTGAAATCCTATCCTCATCGTTGTAAACTTCAACAGGATAATCAAAGGTCAGCACAAAACAACCCTGCCATTCATACTGTTGGCACACATGAATGTCTCTTTAGAGTCTTTGGCTTATTTTTTTTCATAAGTACTGTTTTAGCCTGATTTTCCTTAGTTTTGCCCTCATTAAACCTCATCATCTGTGTTTCTGCCTACTCACAGTTAACCAAGCTCCTCCAGTAGTTGGTTGCTATGAACTAGATATCTTGTCATCCGGATTTGCTTAGTGTTGCAATTCATTGGTAATGACCAAATGTCCCTTCTCTTCCTGCATGTTTTAGATGCCCTTGCTGTTGTTATAGAAGTAGCCAACCACGCCAATGACACCATGAAACAAGGAGTAAGTATCCTGATTTCAGTGGCTGGTGTACTACTGAACCTGGGAGCCTGGGCTTTCATATGCTTTACATTCTCTTTTGGTAGGATAACTTTCAGAAGCTTATGCAAATTCAGTACAGCTTAAATGGACACCATGAAATAGTGCAGCCTGGACGGGTAAGTGTTTTAGACTGCCTTTTGCAAATTTAATACAATGCATTTAGGCTCTGTTTGTAGGTAATTTTCATTTCATTTATGAAAATAGGTCATTTGTTATTGTTCCTCTTCATTGACCCAATCAAGATCAACTAAGCTCATTCTGTCCATTCAAAACATTCGTGATTTAAGTCACTGTGACAAGAAGTCCAATTCAATTAGGAAAATGGCAAGGGACCCCACAGAGTATCTGATTAAATAGGATCATTTTATTGTGTAATACTAGCTGACCTCATGCAGCTTTAATGGCAATTTCATTTAAAACTTTTAATGTAAGAGAGGATTATGAGGGGAGGGAGAAAATTGGTATTTTGTTGCTCCTCATAGAGCACAAAAGTGGCCTCGGGAATGAATTCAGGGAAATTACAAAATGCAATTGTCAGGATGTTGGCTATGCCTCAGGATCAAGTCCATGCTCAGTCAATTACATTTCAGACCACATAGTACCCCTGGGGCCAATATTGGATTTATGAAGCTCTGCTGGCTTGTCTAATTCCTAAGTGACTTACAGAGTTTAAAAAGAAACCATGAATGTAAAAAGTCACAGGGAAACTATGTCTCCTCAGCCCCCACAAAAAAAAATTCTGAGGAAAGTTGAAAAGGAAAATATATGTACACATATATTGCAGTTGTGTTAAGGTGTTGGACTAAATGAGCGTTTGTTTGGATGAATTAGGTTTTTCTCAAAGAAGGAACTCTGATGAAGCTGTCTCGGAAAGTCATGCAGCCCCGAGTATTTTTCCTGGTAAGTGGCCATGTGTGTTTGTGATGAGCTTTGAGGCAGAGATAACTGCTTAATGGAAGGAGACATTTGTACCACAGGGAAGCACAGCACGTTCAAATAGTGCGTTTTGAATTTAGTTTCATTTCTAATTTGGAAAATTGATTCAATTGGGTTTTTGTTTAGGCAGATTGTAATACCTTAGTGGAATTCAGAATTCAGAAAACATTAAATTTGTTATAGAACTTGGAAAGAAAGCACATTTTCTAGAAGTTGTGTTTTTAATAGTATTCTAACAAAACATTCTAGGTGGTTCTAGTTTATAGAAGGATTTTATTCAGAGAGCTTTTAACGAAGAGGTAATATTTTTCCTTTGTTCCTGTGTCCTATCAGTACCTTTGTAGCTGAAATTCGCTTCTTTATTCACCCTATGCAATGTTTCTCCTTTCAGTTTAATGACGCCCTGTTGTATACAACACCAGTGCAGTCTGGGATGTATAAACTCAACAACATGCTCTCACTGGCTGGGATGAAGGTCTGTGCGTCTGTTAGAAGAATTTTTTTTTTACCCAAATATATTTAGAGAAAAAGCCCTAGGATAACCATCTTTCTCACACCCTTAACCTTTCTTTCTCCATGTGTGACTGTTCAGGTGTTTGTTTGTTCATTCTTATAGTCATTTGTTCGCTCATACATTAATTGATTCATAAGATGTTTATTCAGAACTACTATAAACAAAACTGGGTAATAGATTTGGTGAAAGATACAAAGATGAATTGAAGCATGATTCTTTTTGTCTCCGCCTTTCCTCTAATCTCCCCAGAAGCTTAGCAGCTAGTTGGGAAGATAATATTCTACACATACATAAGTACCTGTAAAATAGACAGTAATAAATGTCACCAAAAAGGCACAAAATTTTGGGGAGTTCAGAAAATAAAGAGCATGCAGCTTTTGGTGGGCCATGATAGGGGGATTGGTGGCAGCTAGGAAAGAGGGAGAATTCAGAGTCTCTTTGGAGGAAGAGCCAAGAGCTTTAAAAAATAGGTCACATTTGGCCATGCTGAGATGTGGGGAAAGGCATTCCAGGTAGAGGGAATAGTGGGAGCAGAAGCCTGGAGGTGGGAAAGTTGGGCCTATGTATATGGAGATATTTAAATTTGTCTGGAGCATAGCACAGAGGAGGGAGAGAATTGGTAGATCAAGCTGGATATGAAGCTTGGTGGTAGATGTCGGCAGCATGGGTATTGAGCAACCTTGTGCTTCAGAGGTGAGATTTTCACTAGGAGGAGTTTTGCTCAAATTGTTTTGCTTTCTTCCAGGTCAGAAAACCCACCCAAGAAGCATATCAGAATGAACTAAAGATTGAAAGTGTAGAACGTTCCTTTATCCTCTCAGCCAGGTAAATTTTAAAAATATGTATAGATGAACATTTGCCAGTATTACAGGGCCGGGCATCTCCAGCATTTTTTACATTTAGGTTAACTACTAGCCTTATTTTGTTTTTTCTTCTTTTCTTTCCTAATACCATGCAGTTTACTCTTGATTCACTATGTAGGTAAAATTTGTAAGAGCTGATGCAATAGTGTGCTAGAAGCACAAAGATAAAAATGATCCTCTGAATAGAATAACTATGCTGAAAAGTGCTTTGCTGATCATTCTTTTAAAGTGAATATCTCAAATCTTCTACAGTGACGCATAATGTTTTTAAAAACATCTAGTGCTTTGTAGTTTACTAGGAAGTTTTCACGTAACGTTGAAAGGTCATCACAAATCTACGAAGTTAAGTGTAGTCGATTAAAAATGGAGAAGACTAAGTTACAGAAAAATTGAGCTGCTGTCTTAAGGATCCATAGCTTGCAAAGTCAGGATACAAATAGAAGTTTTTTGCTTTTAAATCTGTTATTTATGATACCACATTGCCTCAAAGTAGAACCTACTGTGACTTACGTGTAAATCAAGACATATTATCGTAATGTAAATCAAGTGCTAAGGAATATAGGATGTATGACTCATGCATGTACATTATTGAGTTATTGGCTGAGTGGCAGAAGTGGATGTTTGGCAGGATTGGACTGGTAAAGGGAGAGACACCAACCGCGGTAGCATGCTGTGCTGCTGGATTTGGATAGCGAGTCTGAGTGGCTCTCCGACCTAACCTTTGATATAATAAAAATAATGTCAAACACTTTTATAGCACTTATCTTGTGCCAGGCACTCTCCTAAGCACTTTCTGTATATTAATTCACTAAATCTTCACAACAACCTTTTAAGGTAAGTTACTACCATTTATACCCATTTCATGGTAAGAAAAGCCACCCAGCTATTAAGTAACAGGGCCAGGATTTGAACCCAGGCAACCTGCTTCCTGCTATGTCCCTACCACTAAAATCAACTAGGATCTTAGTAGCAGCTAGAGTTGTAACTGGAACCATTTATTTCTCTACATCAGGCGAGGTGCTACACATTTTATATTTTCTCTTTTAATTTCCATGATAACTAGTGGAGTAGGTATTGTCTTGACCTTCCAGATGAGAAAAATGGAGGCTCAGAGAAGTTTAATAACATGTGCAAGGTTACACAACTAGTAAGCAGTGGAACTGAAATTTGAACCTAGGTCTATCTGACACTGAAATTCATGTTTTTAACCATTAAAACATTGCCTGTGTTCATGGATGTCGAGGACTCAGACCAAATGTCTGACTTCTCAAAAACAGAGGACCACAAGAGCAGCTCCCTGGGTCATGACACTCTTCTGAAAGGGAATGGTCACTGCTGCCTGACACGAGATCTCAAGATGACTGGAGAAGAGAAATACCTGTGTTCAGGGTTTGTTAAATGCTTTCCAGCTACCAGCCAGAGCAGCAAAGTTCCTGGGAGGTACCTGAGCATCCTACAGATCAATATTTGGAGAGTAAAAGTAAACTCTTGAACATAAGTCCCTGTACATCAGGTTCCTGGCAACTACTTAATCTTGGTTCTTAAAAATCAAGGAAGTTATTTTCCAAGATCCGAAGAGGAAATGCCTATAGGAAAGTCAAGTTTTCAATTGCACTTAAGTTTCCTAAGTAAAAATGTGCTTTGGTAAAACAAAATTCTGTTTTAATAAAAATGAAACAGTTCAGGAAAGGATGGTAAATCTTTCTTTCTTTGGTTGCCTATTGTAAATATCTAGATATCCACATTTTTCCAGATCAGCCTTCTAGACCGTAGTAAGATCATTGGGAAACCATCTGAGGATTTTAAGCTAAACATTGGTATGATCTAATTTATATTTTCCAAAGAGCACGCTGGCTGTTTTATAGAAGACAGATTCTCAAACACTAGAGTACAAGTTGGGAGACCAGGTAGGAGACTGTAGATGATGGTTTCTTGGACTAGAGTGGTAAGAAATGGTCAGAATCAGGTAGAGCCAGTATGATTACTGGTGAATTAAATGTGAGGTATGCAAGAGAAATGATAAACCTGGAAAGTTCTTGATAAAGGAAAAGTAAGCTTCTAAGGAAGGATTAAGGTGGCATGGGGGAAAGAGAACTAATACATGTTGAATGCCACCAATGTGCCATGTTCTCCTTCTAAATTCTCCTAGCCACAGTGAGGCAGGTGCTGTATAACATGTAAAAAGGAGATGAGAAGGCCTCTTAGGATCTGGTTCCTGGCTGCCTCACCAGCCTGATCTTTCACTCTCCTCTGTCCCCACCCCACCAGAGCATGGCATGTTGCATCAGTGTGGATCTGTTTATGTTTCTCCATGCCTGCCAGCCTACTTCACATCCTTCTGCTTTGCACAGGCGGCTACTGCCACCTGGAATTCATCCCTTCATTCAGGAAGCAACATGGAGCCTCTGCCCTGGGCCAGGCGTTGTGCTGGGCATCAGGATACAGTGGAGAATTAAAAGGGCCCTTCCTTCCCTGAGCTTACAGTTCATTAGGGAAGACATACACTTAGCAAATATTAGCACCATCAATTATTATTGTAATTAAGTAGTACACGGAAAACTACCAGTAGTACCACAGGAGAATTACTGCTATGAGACTGTAAAACAAGGGACCTTGAACTAGATTTGGTGGAGAAAGGGAAGTCAGAGATAGCTTCCCTAAAGACCTGATGTGTCTGTTGAGTTATAAAGGATAAGTAGAAGTTGGATAGCTAGGCAAAGAGGAAAGGAAGGGGCTCTTGATCATTAGGAATGATGTGTACAAAGGTCCTGAGGTGGAAAGGGGCATGGCATATTCAAAGAACTGAACGGCTAGTGTGGCATGAACGTAGTGAATGAGAGGGAGAGTGACCCAACATAAGCCTGGAGGGACAGGCAGAAAGGTTATGCAAAACCATCTTGCGGATTTTGGTCTTTAGCCTAAGAGCCACAGGAAACCACTGAAAGGTTTATACAGAGGCATGATGTGATTAGATTGGTATTTTTAAAAGAATATCTGCTTGCTGTGTGGAGAATGTTTTGGGAGGGGAACTAAAGAGAATGAGTAAATGGACATAGGGGAAGAGAGAGAGGCATTAAGAGTGAGTCTTGGGGCTGGCCCCATGGCTGAGTGGTTAAGTTTGCACACTCTGCTTCAGTGGCCTAGGGTTTTGCTGGTTCAGATCCTGGATGCGGACATGGCACCACTCATCAGGCCACATTGAGGCAGCGTCCCACATGCCACAACTAGAAGGACCCACAACTAGAATATATGACTATGTACTAGGGGGATTTGGGGAGAAAAAGCAGAAAAAAAGATTGACAAGACTTGTTAGCTCAGGTGCCAATCTACAAAAAAAAAGAGTGAGTCTCCAGCTTGTTCAGTGTATTGGGTGGTGGTGCCATTCTCTGTGATAGGGAATACCGGGAGAGGAGCAGCTTTGGGGGAGAAATCAGGAACTTAGTTTCAGATGTGCATATTGAATGTGAGGTGCCTATGAGTCATCAAAATGGAGACATCAAGGATGTCAGAAGGAAGCCTGGCCTAGAGGCATCTGTTTGGGAGTCATCAGCTTGGAGATGATAACCAAAGCTAGGAGACTGAATGAGTCCGTACAGAGAGACTGCACAGCTCCCTGTCAGACTCCTGTAATTATTTCAACTTAGTCATTACCTCTGCAAATCCTTCCTGGCTACCTAAATAAGGTACCTTACAACTTCCGTGTTGTTTATCTACCTCACATTTATTGTGTCATCTTGTTTTTGTAACTACTTGTTTTTATGTCTCACCTCAATTAGATGTGAGCCCTCAGAAGGGAGGTGTATTGTGTGCCCCCAGTTCATGACTTAGTACCTGGCCCTTAGGCTCCCAGTAAACATTACTCAAATGAATTGAATTGAAGTGATGTGGCCTTTGGATCTCAGAGTAGCATCCTACAGTTAACACAGGTAGCAAATAGCGCAGCAAGGTCTAACACACCAGAAATCCCTTCTCTTGGAGGCTTTTTCCCTTTGGAAGTTCATCCCAATCAATCGGAAGATGGTGCTTATATAATACAAATTTGCTTTCTGGTAATGTACACATTCCATAAAGAAAAGAATACTTGGTTTTAACTGTTTTTTGATCTGAGGAAGATGCTGATGGTTCTGCTAACCATGTTACAAAAGGGGAGCTGGAATGTCTCCACTTGATGCTGCAGGCAAATGTGTGTGGTCTGTGAGAAATGTGTTATCAAGAGCTGGTAAACATTGTTTTGGCAGAACCCACGCAAGAGAGAGCCAGGAATGATTAAATGAAAGAACAGCATATGTGACATGATTTGCACAGTCGAATCACATTCCACATGCTCCTAGGACTCCAGAAAAATCAGACAGCAAAACTCAAATTAGCCATCTGCCTCTCTGCGTTCTGTTACCTCTTCCAGTGACAAGTAGGAGAGGGAGGGAGGGACAGTAATATTTTATGAATATTTGATTGGAAGCCTGAGCATATGTTCTCATTGCGTAGTTCTTCAGAGAACATGAACAGAGGCCAGAGATAACATGGTGGTGAAGGGTTCAATCCTTAGCCACACTAGGGTCTGATACCAACTCATCATTTAGTATAGGCTGTTATCCAAGCAAATTATCTAATATTTCAAATCCTTAAATTATGTATCTGTAAATGGTAATAGTGGGTGGTGATAGTGGGATTGGTTGGGAGGAGCGTTGTAAGATTCAATGTATATTCCATGGAGTAGCTCTGAGGATGAGATGTGATGACATTTGCAAAGCATTTAGCACAGCCGGCTGACGTGCAGTAACTGTCAAATAAATGGCAGCTAGCTGAGGCAGTAATGGTAAAGTAGGAGAGGAACTGAGGCATGTTTTGTTTGCTTTAGAGAGAGAAGGACTGTTTCCATTTTATTTTGTCCTTCATATATAGTGAAAATTTGAGAAATATACTAGTTTCAAATTTTTATTTGTAAACCGGATTTCTACCTTTGAATATCTGTACGAGTGCATATCCTTAATGGCACTTAAGCCATTTAGTAGGAAGGTACATTTTTGAGAGTGGTTATTGTGGGGAAAGCAAGTGGTTTTTTAAGTATCTCCTTGACCTGCTCTGGGTTCATCAAAATACAACAAAATATGCCTATTCGTACCATTAGTTAGGATGGAATTTTTCATTTTAAAAACATTATTTAAAAGTTCAAATATACTTAAAATTAGAGTGAATAATAGAATGAAACTGCATGTTCAGTCACTCAGACTCAAAAATTATCAAGATTCTGTCGCACATTTTCCTATTTTTTAAAATACTTTAAAACAAATGCAGATATCAAGTCATTTCACTTCTACATACTTTAGTATATCTAAAGAAAGTACACGTTTTCCTACACAATCATATGCCCATTATTATGATGGATTTTATTATGATAGAGTTTTAAATTGATTATTAAATTCTCTTTCTCTCTCTCTCTCTATACACACATATACACACACACAAAATACCTAAAATGTGCTTCTCACTCCTGAGTATGCAAAACAAAATGTGCAGGCATGAGTGGTGATTCAGAGTTACCACAGAGTTTTTCGGGGAGAGGTGTGATTGCAAAAGAGTAGAACAAAAATGCCTTTTTCTGAACCGGCTTTCCAACCCTTTTGGCTAATTTCCATCTAGATTTGATCCATATAGCTCCTGATGAATGAAGATAGGAACAGAAAATATGATGGGCTGAATAGGTAGAGGAGCCCTTACAACAACTGCAGGCTATTTCCCTTATTAGCTACTCCTTAAACATCTGTTTACGATACCAAAAATATGTTTCTTTTACTCTAGTGCCCTTTCTAGAAATTTTTAGTAATATTTAGTAACCTAAAAATATTTAGTATTCTACGCTGAAAATTTGCATTTGAAACTTGATTCCTTGGAATATTTTTAAATTCTAGGATTATGTCTTAGGAAACTCTCGAGTTACATAAATAATCGTAATTATTAATTGTATGAACAGCCCTTGAACCAAACAAGAATACTTTCAAATTTAGGAGACTTCAAAAGCCATTCCCTATACAGCAGGACTTTTGGAAACAAAAAACAGCATTGTATTTGCTAAAATGCCATGTGTTCTCTAATGCAGCTCTATTGTTTGTGCACATGAACCTCAGAGTTGCTGTCTGTGACTAGCATTGTTGGAGGGTGGTGGAATCTGTTGCCATGACAGAAGAAAAAGAAGTAAGAAAAAGGCAAAGGAAAAAAGCTGACATCTGGTTGATGGAACCTTCTTTTGCCCCCAACAGTTCTGCCACAGAAAGGGATGAATGGCTAGAAGCGATCTCCAGGTCAATAGAAGAGTATGCCAAGAAAAGAATCACATTCTGTGCTAGTAGGAGTCTTGATGAGGTATTGTCTTTTCCTTCTTATTTTTTTTCCAGTGTATTTCAAACAGTTTTTACCTTAAAGAAACTTTTCCCAGGGGTTTAGAAAAGCAACATGGGTTTCACAGAAGGATTGGAGATGTGTGTCTAATTTCAGAGCTAAATGTTTATCCTGTGAATGTCTAAATGCAAGTCTATGATAGCATATAGTGCATTCATGTTTTTCCAGTATAAAACCTCATTGTAGAAAATTTAGAAAATACAATATAGTTTAAGCAAGACACTAATCAGCTGTCATCGCACTACCACAGGCATCTTTTTAAGTTAATTTTGCATTAGAGGATTGTTAGAATGTAGGTAATCTCAATATCCTGAGAATATGAAAAATATAATAGCCCATATTTCATCCCGCATCTGTAATGATATCATCAGCATTGTGAGCCACCATTGCCAAATAAAAATGCTTGAGTCTGTAGCAGTCAACGAGCCTGAGGATAATCAGAAGTTGTTCTTCTACAGGCAGACTCAGAAAATAAAGAGGAAGTTAGTCCTCTTGGATCAAAGGCTCCCATCTGGATTCCTGATACCAGAGCCACAATGTGTATGATCTGCACAAGTGAATTTACTCTGACCTGGAGACGACACCACTGCCGGGCCTGTGGAAAGGTTGGAGAGGATAACCCCATCTCCCTTGTGATTTTTAATAGCTCCAGGCTATACATAATGAGGAAGCATATTTCCCATTGTGAACCATTGGGGGAAGGCAGAGGGGGGGATACTGAATCATGGATGGTGATTTCTCTAAATATTTAGGTATGGGGCAATCTTGTTAGGGAACTTACCCTCTCCTACCTCAACATTACTTTACAGTGTCAATAATGGACATTTTTTGTTAAAAAAAAGTTCACAATTAAACAGACCCTCACATTTACAAATAATTATTTAAACTGCTTTTGCCTAGACACTCAGTATTTAATAAGGGGGCCTTGTAGTGTTGAAGTCATCACTAGTGATGTTTCTAAGTCTTCATGACCTCATCAAGAAAATGAGCATAGTAACAATGACATCAGAGAGTTACTGTAAAAATTAAGGGGGGTCTTATTTAGAGAGCATTTAATACATGGCCAGACACTGCAGCAGAGGTGGATGTGTTTGTAGCAGTGATGATGACAGACGACGATGATGATCAATACAGCTAACACAGGACTAACTGCACGCTAAGCACTATTCTAAACATTGGCACACATTAACTCCTTTAGTATATATGTAGGAAGCACTCAGTAATAATCTGTGGCCTCCTCATCTTCAAGGTTGGGGTGCTGTGTGCGAGATTACTACAGGCCTGAACTGCAGAGTTGTTATTGAGATTCCATGACTGTGAAAGCTTTTGGAAAGTAGACAGCACTATAAATTGTAATATACTTGATGGTTTGAATACAAAGCTGCTTCTAAATGAAATAATTCCAATGTGTTTTCAGATTGTATGCCAAGCTTGTTCATCAAATAAGTATGGCTTAGATTACCTGAAAAATCAACCAGCAAGAGTATGTGAACATTGTTTCCAAGAACTGCAGAAATTAGGTAATATATAAATAAAGATTTAACCGAAAATTCCTTTATTCCCCAGATGCTTTTAAACAGCCTTCTGAAAGAATCATTTTAGGCACATTAGTAATATGGTCGGTGATACTCATCTAAAAATATTAAGTATTTTGCTGTCTTCACTTAGTTAAGCTTTCCTAACTCATTTTGTGGTAATTTCATCGGAAGTTGGACTGAAATTTATTTTTACTCTGAAAACAGTTTTGTTAAAAATACTAATTATAGAAATGTAATTACAGGATGAAATGCTTAAAACAGTTACAAGGGAACTTTAATCAAGTAATTTTGAAGTTTCTAGGTTCACAACTGTGAGCTCATCACGAAGCATTTTTATCCTATCTGTAAAGTACTTCTCTATGCAATTATACTAGGTGGCACTTTGTCAGCCTAATTCTAATCACCTGGACTGATTTAGTGAGGTTTTATTGTACATCTAAATGTGTAGCTTTTCACCAAACACGCAATGGTAAATCATATCTGCCTACTCGTTATTTGCGGGTATCCCTACAGTTAAGATGAATGCAGCCAGTAGGACTGCTCAGGTTTGTATTTTGGGAAGAGATCTTTAGATAAATTCCTGAAACCTGTAGGATCTTAATTTTAAAAAGATTATCCTTTGCTTCCATGCTTTTCATCAGCGTACGTAAGTGAATAAAACTAGATGACGTGCTATTTCGGAATCCGTGTAGAGTAATAGTTTGTTGTTGTCTGTATACGTTTTCCAGGAAGACACATCCGTCTAATCCTTTGCCAGCCTTTATCTTCCTCCCTTTGTTCTCTGGGTATATAATATAAACTGCACACATTCAACATTTGTCTTTGAATCCTCTACCCTCATCATCCACCCCCATTTGATCTATAAATCTTGCCAAATTTGCCTTCAAAAACTTGTCTTTGTCTTGATTTCTTCATCTTGATCCTAATAAGGCCATCATTATTGTTTATCTGGACTACTGTAAGAATTTCCCAACAGGTTTTCTTGCTGTAAATCCTTCTTCCTTGCTACTGGCCACCTTCCTTCCCAGATTTATTTTTTTAAATTCAGTCTGCTTATGTCACCACCCCTGGCCTGAAAAGCCTTTCATTTCCCACTGCCAACAACAGTCCAGGTTCCTTGGAACCTGGCTTTTTTTCCCCCAGCCTCATTATTCTCCAAATAGATGATATATTTTCTTACCTCTCTGCTTTTGCTGACCTCTTTTTTTCATGGAGTGTTCTTCTTCCTGTTTTTTACCTGATAAGCTCCTATTTATACCATAATGGCCAATTCAAATATCTTGTTCTGTTCCCAGCTTTCCCTCAACCTCTGCAGTCAAAACTAATTGCTTCCTCTTGTCCTTTAGCCCCTTTTCTAGCACTTTATTCATGGTAATATTATTATTTGTTCTTGTATCTAAATACTAAACAACATTAGGGTTTTTTTTAAAAAGTCAGGAGGGAAGTTTTTTTAAGTTGGTCATACATTAATGTATTTCTGAATTCTAAAGGCACAAAAGAGTAATCCTTTCACATGGTTTGCAGTTGAAAAAGTATAAAAGCATAGACCACGGAAAGTCTTCCTCCCATTCAACTTCCAAGCATCCATCTTCCTTTCCGGGGGGCCTCAGTGTCATCAGTTTCTTGAGTATCCTTCCATGGATATTTTATGCAACAGTGTTTATTGATTTGCGTTAAATTGAATTACAGAATGCTTGCCATTGGCTACATAAGTGTGCTTGATTTGTTTTAGATCACCAGCACTCCCCTAAGATTGGATCTCCCGGAAATCACAAATCTCCTTCAAGTGCCTTATCATCAGTCTTACATAGTATTCCATCAGGGAGGAAACAGAAAAAAATCCCAGCTGCTCTCAAAGAAGTAAGTGTTTCCATTAAACTTGCAACCTAATAGAGGCTGAATTATTCATATGCATATAATACACTGTTTTTCATAAAGGAAGATGTCATTTCCTAACACTATTAAGACGTGCATTTTAATACTGGTGATGGATGTGGCTGATGCCTTCGAATCTTGCTTCATCTCCCTTATGACCGGAGTCATTTAGAAAATGGCTGTTGAAAGGTTTGGAGAGCATTTTATAACAATGATAGAAAGTAAAGATAACTTGGACACACATGAATTTTTAAAATTACTTTGAAGAAACCCTTACTAGAGGGAAGAAATCTATAGAATATTTGGGGCATTTTATTAGCATTTACTAATCTGCACAGTTTGTATATGTAAGCATTGGTTCGTTATATACTGCTCATATCACTGATAGTAGGTTGTCTTTCCTTTAAGCTTAAACGAAAAATTTAAAAAGTAGTAATAGCCTGCAGTTAGACCTGCCAGTGGCATAATCCACAGGCACCACTGAAATCCTATCCCATTCCTCAAATTCAAGTGTTCACTTAGCTAGTGTCAGAGATCGGACAGCACTGCCTTTCTGGCCACGCCCATTTTGATTAGTTTATTAGTTAGTTCCGCCTATGCTGGTTTTGTGGCCAGCAGAGTAGAAGTTTAAATTTTGTTCTCTTGCTTGGTTACTGTGGAGGTGTTCTATCATGGAAAGTGGAAGCAAACAACTCTAAAAATTTGACCAAGATCCTGTTTCTTATGTAAAGTTGAGTGTATTCCATCATGGCAATTGAAATAGTAGAAAGTGATTTATAGCCAATCTCATGAAATAGTAAGAATAGCACTTAAAGTTCTAATTGCCAAGTTTCATATGAAACTGATTAAGCCAATTTAATGAGTATCTCTGAACTCTCTCTTCCATCACTCAATTCCTGAGTCTAAATCTATGTTCAGAACTTGAAGGTTCTTAATCAACTGAATAGTTTTCAATTCCATGTAATTTTTCACCTCTCCATGCTGATATCACAGTTTATAAATATAATTCATAGATTTGCTCCCCTCTTCAGTCTAAACTCCACAGCATTGGTTGCAAAACTCTATATATATAGCCTGGATTGGACTCGGTCTAACTCCAGTCCCATTTCATACATCTTTGCACCCAGCCACTCAAACAAGCCTTCCACGTTCAAACCTCTGCTTCCTCACTGCAGGCATTTCTTCCTTACTCCAGTGGTCCTCAAAGGGTCCTCCAGAACAGCAGCAGCAGCGTCGCCAGGGAACTTATTAGAAATATGAATTCTTAGCCCCATCCAAGGTCTACACAATCAGAAACTTTAACAAGCCCTCTTGGTAATTCAGGTGTATGCTAAAGTTTGAGAACCACTGCTTGACTCCTTTGCAGTCAGACTGGGGGGAATTAATTTATCTAGTTAAGTGCTATAAAAGTCAAAGTATTCTCCTTGGGAAGCTGTGTTGTCTTTTTTTTTTTTAAATTGAGGTGAAATTCATGTAACATATAATTAACAATTTAAAGTATACAATTCAGTGGCATTTAGTGTATTCACAATATTGTGCAACCACCATATTGCTCCAGTTTCAAACCTTTCATGACCCCATAAAAACACCCTATATCCCTTAAGTAATCAGTCCCCATTCCTCCTCCCTCCACCCCTCGTAACCACTAATCTGGTTTCTGTCTCTGTGTGATTTGCCCTTTCTGGATATTTCATATTAAAGGGATCATACAATATGTGACCTTTTATATCTGGCCTCTTTCACTTAGCACGATGTTTTCACGGTTCATCCAAGTTATAGCATGTATCAGTACTTTGCTTCTTTTTATGTCTGAATAATACTCCATGGTGTGTATATTCCAGAGTTTATCCCTTTATCTGTTGGTGGACATTTGGGTGGTTTCCACCTTTTGGCTATTATGAATAATGCTGCTATAAACATTTGTGTATAAATTTCCGTGTGGACATGTGTTTTCATTTGTCTTGGGTATATACTTAGGAGTGGAATTGCTTGGTCATATGGTAATTCTGTGTTTAACTTCTTGGGAATTGGGGAGTTGTGTTCTTATTCCAGTAATGTTCAATACATTTTTAGAAAGTCCTCTTTTTTAGAATTATATTCAGAGCCTCAGTACCCTTAGTGAGGGCAAGCTATGTCTCTTGAGTTGGATTTTATTTATCTTTTAATAATCAAATCATTGGAAGGGACATTTTATGAATCAGTTAAGTGATTAAGCTGGTTAATACCAATTTTATTTTTAAAAAGATAATAGAGGACTATGCATGACTGTTCAGCATTGTGATTGATCTTTTTGTGTGGCTAATAAACTAATTCTAAAATATTCCAGAAGAGGAATGTACAAAATATTTTAAGCAATGATAGCAACACTTACATCACTACATAATAGTATTCCAACATAACCACATTTTACTTGAATGTAAACATGCTAGTTTTTTAAAAAATTATTTGGTAGTGTTATACGAGGATGTTATCTGTTTATACAAATTTACATGCACTTAAATATTTCTAATTCAATGTTAGATATTAAATTTTTCACTAAACAACAATATATCATCCTTTTTATGAAACTTATAAGAAATTAATACAATTAGTACATGATCAAAGATATACTTTTAAAATTCATAGAGCCCACCTGTATTAGTCTTCTATTGCTATGCAACAAATTACCACAAACTAAGTGGCTTAAAACAACACACATTTATTATCTCAGGAGTCCAGGCACAGCTTAGCTGCAGTCTCTGCAGGACTGCAATCAAGGTGTTGGCCAGGGTTGAGTTCCTATCGGGAGGCTGATAGGGAAGGGTCTACTTCCAAGCTTGCTCAGGTTATTGGCAGAATTCATTTCCTTGCAGATGTATGACTGAGGGCCCTGGCTTCTTACTAGCTTTGCTTGAAGGTTGCCCTCAGCTCCTTGCCACATGGGCCTCCAAGATGGCTGCTTACTGCTTCAAAGCCAGCATGGGAGAAAGTCTCTAGAGCCAGTCTGCTGGCAAGATGGAGTCTTATATAACATAACACGATCACAGGAGTGACATCCCGTCACCTTCATCATATTCTGTTGGTTAGAAGCAAGTCACGGGTCCTGTCTCCTCTCAGGGGAAAGAGATTGTATAACAGTGTGACAACTATCAGAGGCAGGGATCATGGGGAGCCACCTTGAGAGTCTGTTCACTATACCGCTAATACGGCAATTCCTAGACTTGGCTTTTTATATCTCTGTTGTTCCTATGTTAAGAAAAAGAAAAATTTCAGGGCTGGCCCCGTGGCGTAGTAGTTAGGTTTGCACACCCCACTTTGGCAGCCCAGGGTTCACAGTTCAGATCCTGGGTGCGGACCTCTACACTGCTCATTAAGCCACGCTGTGGCAGCGTCCCACATACAAAGAAGAGGAAGATTGGCACGGGTGTTAGTTCAGGGACAATATTCCTCAAGCAAAAAGAGAAAGATTGGCAACAAATGTTAGTCAGGGCCAGTCTTACACACACACAAAGTTTCAATTGCCAGATTATAATCATTAAAAGCTTACTGTCTTTTTGCCTAGAGATTAAAACATTCTCAGCCTTTCATGAAGCAAAAATAAGCTTCTTTTCTTTTGGACCAAAATTTGGGGAGCAGAACCCTCCCTAAAGTCACCATTAATGTGGAATTTTCCATTTACTTTTTGGTTGATAGAGTTTTTAGAAGTCCAAAGAGTTATTTAAGGAACAAAGGTAAAGATTTAAATAATTTTCCTTAACACCCCAAAACAAGAAATGCAATAAACAACATAGACAGTCCAAAAAGTACAGCTTTAAAAAGGATTTTTGACCTTTGGAATTATTTTTCCTCTTCTGGCAACCCAGAAAACACAGGTGAACCCACAAGGAAACACATGCATGCAAGCACAGTCAAACCAGGTAAAATTCTAGAATTGCTTCTAAAAGGAAGGGTTTTACGCTCATGGTAAGGGCAGTATTGAGTTTGTACAGTAGCAGACTGAAAATAAACCAATTCATTCTGAAACATTAGTATTATGGTTATTGCTTTCAGCACCAATGATTAAAAGCAATTTTGTTATTTTAGATTTTCTCAGAAAACCATTAAACTGTGTATGTGGTTTGCTTATCTAGGTATCAGCAAACACAGAAGATTCTTCTATGAGTGGCTACTTGTACAGATCAAAGGGCAATAAAAAACCTTGGAAACACTTGTGGTTTGTCATAAAAAATAAAGTGCTATATACATATGCTGCAAGCGAGGTAAGATGTGAAATCTCAAGATGAATATTTGGGATCTTGTTATATAAGGCCAACTATAAATAACAACAGTATTTCTTTAGTCTGTTTGTTTTGTGGATTTTTTGTTTTGCTTTGCTTTTGGAGGGGCAGATGTTGCTGTTATTTTTAATGTGAACAGTGTCCTTGATTTGTACCTAGAGAGCTCTCACTCAAAAGTGTTAGGAATTTTCCATAGTATTAGAATGTAAGTTTTCCTGTCGTTTCACTGCTACTTCAGTAAAGACAGAGGTTCTTATCTTTTCTGCCAGGCTCTCTAGGATGACACTCCCTTGACTATCCCCAGATTGTATTGATCAGGCATCAGCATAGATAAGATAGACTGTTTTGGGTTATAAACAATTTCTAGCTGTTTGCTCTAAAACTACCATTTTCTCCTATCTGATGATCCTGTGTTCCAACATCTTATGAAAACCACTGCTGTAGGGTCCAAGCTTTTCCTTAGTGAGACCTGGGTAAATCAGTTACCTTTCTGAGCTATGTTTTCTGCATTCATAAAATGAAAGTAATATAATTACCTACCTCCCATGGTTGTAGGGAATATAATATGAAATACTGTGAAATATAAGTGTCTGGCTCTTGGAAGGAGTAGCTCAATACATATTGTTGAATAAATGAAAAGTGAATGTTGCTAGAATTATCATTGTTTTATATATGTCTTATGAAATTAAATTACAGCTATATAGATCAAGAGTTCACAAATCTGAATTTTGTATCCATTTAAAAACCCATCTCCCTTTGTGTCTTTTTAAATTAGGATGTGGCAGCTTTGGAGAGTCAACCTTTACTAGGATTCACTGTTACTCAAGTCAAAGATGAGAATTCAGAATCTAGAGTATTTCAGTTACTGCACAAAAACATGTTATTTTATGTATTCAAAGCAGATGATGCTCACTCAGCTCAGAAGTAAGTAATTTAGACATATTTTTCTTTTGTACATGATATTTCGAGTTGTTACTTTAAATGACTGATTTTAGTTTTGTTTTGTTCTCCTTTGTTTTTTTGGTGAGGAAGATTGGCCCTGAGCTAACATCTATTGGCGATCTTCCTCTTGTTGTTTGAGGAAGATTGTCACTGAGCCAACATGTGTGGCCAATCTTCCTTTATTTTGTATGTGGGATGCCACCATAACATGGCTTGATGAGCGGCACGTAGGTCCACACCTGGGATCCGAACCTGCAAACCCTGAAGCAGAGTATGTGAACTTAACCACTACATCACCGGGCTGGCCCTAAATGATTGATTTTAAGATAACCTACTTTCATGCATGGGGACAACTAAGAATTTAAATCAGAGATCCAAATGAGAAAGATTTAACATATTATTCAAGCTCTTTAGAATTGCTTTAAAGACAGGCAAAAGTATCTGGAATATTTTCTGGAGGCAGAGGGGAAAGGAAAATAGGTAGTTCTGTCCAAAATATTTTGTCTACACATGACCTCAGAGGAAGCAGCATGCTGCTGCTCAGCTGAAAGGAAGGGAAGCCGAGGTATTTGACCTCCCCTTCAGGGAGGGTAAGATTCTTCCCTTGAAACATTCCAGGACTTTGGCAATCCAGTGATTCAATTGTGCCATGAACAGCAGGAGAGTTTAAACAGCTGCTTACTGACTTACTTCTTTGAGAAGAAGGTCAAACACATTAAGAGGCTCCCATGCTGTTCCCAATGACTGAGTGGAGGAAATGGATATCATTTTAGATGGTAAAGGCTGAAACAGTCTCTTCAAAATTCCAACAAGAATATTTATTTAGATGTCATGAGGTTGCTTAACATAGAGATGCATATCTCTGTGAAATCGAGGTCCTTTCCGAACAAAATAGTTCAGTTCACTTCCCTTTCATTTGATTTTTATTTTGGCCTCACACAATATACATTTTTGTTTTCACTAAGAGGTGCTCATGTTTTCTCAATAGGTTTAAAAAGTGCATGCAGATAAAACATGCTTCAAGTAAGCAAGGCTTGTCATTTCAAGGCAGTTAGAATTCATGCACCAGAATTACATGTGTTCCTGAACATTCATCAGGAACAATGTTACAAATACTCTGTAAGACCTTTTTTTTTCAGTCTGTGTTACGATATCCAGCGGTGTATAGCTGTTACTCCAAATAGTTCCTTTTGGGTACTGAATATTTTAAAATTTATGTCACTTAGGGGCCGGCCCGGTGGCACAGCGGCTAAGTGCACGCGTTCTTCTTCATCGGCCCGGGGTTCACCACTTCGGATCCCGGGTGCGGACATGGCACCGCTTGGCACGCTATGCTGTGGTAGACATCCCACATATAAAGTAGAGGAGGATGTTAGCTCAGGGCTAATCTTCCTTAAAAAAAAAAACATTATGTCACTTAACTGTTTTTTCTGTAAAAATTACTTGGATAAAATAGTAATTGCCCTAATATTCTGTTATTAGAATATTATAGAAATATAAAAATATTTCTTATTTTCATCGGTATTCATCATCAAACTGATAAAAATCATTGCTTTTCAATATACATCTTTTGCTTATATCATTAAGTTGACAAGTTAGAAAGCTCTTCAAGGCAGAATTGAGTGTAGTTGGGTGAAGGGAATCAGCTTACTTGTAATGGAGAATTAATACGGGCTAAATTATAGTTTCTCTTTGAGGTTATTACTGTCATATGGATTGCTTTGCTTGCACATTACAGAATAGTAAAATGTGTTAATTTTAATAGAAATTTTTGGCTTTTTAAAAGCCTTTTTATTATAGTATAACTTATATGCCATTTGCATTTAAAATTTAAGTTTCTGAAAATTTTGTCCTTGAAATTTGAGGTAAATATCTTTTAGGCTGCTTTTACTAATTAAATTGAGTGATTTCAAATGTTCCTAGTAAGTTCAGAAGCAATTACACTACTAGAGAGTTACAAAGAGACTACCTCCAAGTGTCTTCTGAATAATTGCAACTATGTGTCTCGTCAGATACAACTTTGAGACTAAAGAATTTTGCAAAGACTTCTATGAAACTCTGAGACACTTTTATGTTGCAAATTTTGATCAACTGGGAGTAGACTAGATGCTAAATTCTTTTTCACTGAAAATATTAGAACAGATCTGAACGATGGATGTCCAAGGAATCTCTGGTTGGTAGAGTTAAGAGAGGAGGAGACAGGGACAGAGCTACTGTTCCTAAAAGCCGAAGGGAGGTTGAAAGAAAGGCCTTTGCAGATATAGCACTTCCAAAACCAATTAAATGGGATCATCAGGACGTCATAGAACTTTTACGTGAAATGCCCCTTCCTCAGGCCTCATAGAAATAAGACATGCACTTTTCAGGCCAAATTACCAAATAAAGGGTAGTTTCATATACAGAATTCTAGTTTGCTATGGGAAATATCTTAAATATACGGTTAGGGTAATTGGATCCCTAGGCACAACTGTTCTCTCTATTGTCTTAACGTATATTGGATGATTGCATTGTACAAATCTAACAAATTTCTCTTATCAATAGGTGGATAGAGGCATTTCAGGAAGGCACAATATTGTAGCTGTACTGGTTTCATCTCTTCTGTGATTCCAAAAGCGTGGAATTTCATCAGAATGGAGTAAACGCAATACGAACATTTTATATACATGAACACTGCCAAGATATATCCAACCAAAATCTTCATCAGATTTAAGAAATTAGTTTGTTAGGTATAAGGTAATTTTTAAAAAATGTTTGTTTTTTCATGTATGTTATTTATTAAAATTTTGATGTTTACTTAATGGTCAGAATTATTTCTGAGACTCACACTGAATTCTAAAGTACCTTTTCTTTAGAAACCAGAAAATTTATCTTAATAGTGTATACTGTATTAACTGTTTGTGACACAGTCCACACTGTTTTCTCAATGTGTTTTACAGCAGTAACATTTGTAACATTCTCACTAGTGATAAGTCTTTGTCAATAAAAAACACATCAAATTTCCATGCAGTGTTTGGTTTAGAAATTATAATTATAAAACTGCTGATAAAAAAATGCATGTCTTTGAATCAATGAACTTAGACGAATTTTTATATCTTTTAATAGAAAAACACATGGCCAACTTCTACCTCAGTAACTGTGAAATGAAATTCCAGTAAATTACCGAAAGTATTTCTACTGTTATGTACCTCTTTTGGCATGAGATAATATCACATCATCAAGGAATTACAGCAAAGGGATAGAATCTGAATTTTTATTTAACTGAACTATGAGTGGGAAAGAAGATGTCTTTATTTGCAGAGGAACGCAAATAATAAACTCTATGGCCTTTACATTGTCTTATCTTTTTTTAAAAGCTACCAGTTCAATACAAACATAAATGTATTATTTTTTTAAAAGCAAAATATGGTAAGCATTATATTACATAATATCCCTTGTTATGGTAAGAGTTCTGAGCCCAAGTGAACGGTGGTTGTATTTGTATCTAGAAAGAATGTTACATTTCCTATAATGTTGTGCTTTAAAAAATGAACTGGAATTACCATATCAAAAAAGCACAAATTCTAAGCCAGTATTAACTGAAATTGTAGAATAGCATTCATTGTTTAAAGGTCTTTTAAATATGACTTTGTCTTATATCGTCCCTGGTAATTTTTTTTTTAAATCCTTTCTTTCTTTAACCAACTGTCAGTGCACCTCGTTAGGAAAGATTTATATTCATAATTCTGGTGCACTTATTTAATATATGAACTACTTTGTACATAAAATTGTTGATTAGCAGACAAAAAATGAAATTAACACTATGATTAAAGTAATTCCTGATGTTCATAATATCATTTATTGACTGAGCTTAAACTAAATATAAATTCTCTTAAAGGGCAAGGTTATCCATAGAATATTTCATTAAAGAGCACAAGAATTTTCCTTTCTGCTTTTATATAAAGGATTTCCTAATTCAGTGTGGTATTTATGATTGCCAAGAGAATTGCTGAGTGCCTTTCTGAAGCCTTTTGAATATTGTTGCAGCACCAGAGTGCCTGCTAAATCTAGAGTTGGCTGCTGGAGTTTTTTCTGGCTATCGCTTGCTATGGAATCATTTTAAATCTTATTGCAACCTCACACATAATCCTCACATGCTATCTCCCAAGTCCTTCTGTCACTGTAAGTAAACTAATACTTCTTTGCAACTCATTAATTTTAATCAAGATAGCATAAATAAGGCTTCCATGTTAAAATCCTTGCCGTTTTTAGTGTATCCTTTTTGGAGACTAAGGTTATACCTTAGTATGTGCTCATTCCTGCTTCACTGAGTCTACTATTTTGCAGAACAGGTCATTTGAAGTTCTTCCCTCCTCCTCTTGAGCTCTCAACCTTCTGACTACAAAGTTTGGTTTAAACCTCAGAATCTAATAAATATCAGCCAGGCTATTCTGTCTTCCTACAGCTGGCTGAATCAAGAACCAGTTATATATCTAAATAGAAGAAACATTGCACAAACTTCTAGTAATTCTCCTAATTACATGTGAAACTCATGTATGATTGTACTAGCTATTGGCTTAGCCCCATGGAGTATTTTGAAAAATATAAAATATAGCCTTTTGAGGAAGCTATCAGATTACCACCCCCCCAAAAAGATATTTTAAATGTGAAATAGTATTACATTCCCTTTCCCCCTTATCAATCCTTCATAACTTACTAAAGCTGATTATTTCTTTAACTTGGCTCATTCAGTGTCAACCAAGAACCTAATTATACACATTTTGTTTAAAGCTACTTTAAAAAAATATCTCTTGATAGCTAACATTTTAGAGGAAAACATATTACTGGGTACCTTCTATAAATAAGAAGTATAAATAGTACCTAGATCCCAAGGATACTGTGTTTATTACACTGATACATATGTTTCCATCAAACCCTTTTCAGGTATCTCCTTTCATTCATAAGGAGGAGAGAGAAGAGCAGTTATAAAGCTAAGCGAAAAAGGCTGCTGAAAGTAACCTAGACAAGAGATGCCAGGTTAAACTAGGGGAAGGCTGGCCTCTTTGGTGCTTGCCCCAGCTAATGTTCCTCCCTTGTCTGGGACAGCTGTAAAAGTAGAGGACCCACCAAAGTCCTGGGAAGATGAGAAAGGTTTTCTTCAGCATCATCTCGAGGTTCTGAACCTCTCTGCAACCTCTTTTCTCCTGCTGTCTAATATTCCCAGTATCCTCCTTTTGTCCTTTGCCCAAGATGCTTAACTCTCTCTTCTTCAACCAAAAGCGTGATTCTTTGAGGATGTAGCAGCATTTCTTAAAACGAGATCATCAGCAAATTTTGTTTAATATAAAACTGAAATGAAACAACTAAATGAAGAAGACAACGTTAAAGTGTAGTTTTGTTAGCTAAATGTGTATTTTATATTTGGTCAGTAGAATATATCCAGAAATAGAGAAAGTCTGCTATTTAGTAATTTAGTGAAACTGTAAATGTTGTTACAGCATATGTTGATATGTCTTGGAGTGTGCTTCCATTATACTCATTTTTTGAAGTTTGAGATCCACTGTAGTCAAATGTAGTCAGTGGGATTTCCAGAGAAGTCAGTCCTGTTTCTCTTATAATGCACGTTCCTTGAAGGAAATACTATATCTAAGATATCAGTTTCTCACAAAATACCTACCCTAGGTCTTTTAACAGAAGATATTTGTTGAAGAAAGTGAGGACAGGATTCTTGTCATCTACAACTCAGACACAGCCCTCAAAACGCCTACATTTTAACCCAGATATTAGACCTACACTGTCCACCATCCTACAAAGCCTTATTTGCAACCACCTGTTGGATATCTACACATGAGTCCTTCTTAAGCGTTTTAAACTTTATGTGACTAAAACTCAACTCACTTTCTTTTCATTCAAATCCGTATATTTTCTTCTGTAATATAAAAATACCTCTCTAAGCTCCAGAATCTGCCTCCATGTCTCAACAAGACTCTGCAGTTGCTCTTGTATCCTTTCCATCTTCATTCCCTTCTGTTTGTGCAGAGGCCCTGTCTCAAGTCCTTGTTTCCTCTTCCCAGTGATTAGAATAACTTTTCTTCTAATTCCAGTGCCTTCTTTGTGTGGTCCCATTATAAATACGCCAGAGCCATCTTCTAAAGTTCTTCAAAAATCTAGTTTCATCCCTGCTCTTTACAATCTTCATTGGCTTCCCACTGGCTTGGCATTGAACGCTTTTCCTCAGGTATCATACAATTCAGCTAACCTCAACCCAACCTCCCTCTGTTCTCATTGTTTTCTTCTGTTTTCTTACTCTCTCCCCTATTTCTGCCTATTTATCCAAGACTTCTCGGTAACAGTTGATCCTAGTTTTCTCTCCCCTATTCCTCCAGACATCTAGTCTCTCCGTCCTCTGTGCTCCCACAGCCTTTAGTTCATAAACTTTCTTACGGTGCTTATCCATTCTGTTCTTGAGAACAGCAACGGTATCTTGTTCATTTGAGATTCCCCCCAGCATCTGGCGGAATGCCTTGCATGGAGTGGACACTCACTATTTTTTGGTGAATTAAATTACTTCAAATGGATCCCTTCTGATTCTTTTTTTTTTTTTTTCTTGAGGGCCTCCAATACATAAATATTCTGGAGCCTATACCATTTTTAATGTTATTTTCTAAAGGAAAATTTTATCTATGACTTTTTCCCACTTTGAGATAATTTCTAGTAGATTTTTTTTAAAGATACTAGAAAATTTTCAAAAAGCCAAATATCAAATTCCTTTTTTGGGGGTGGAGGGTGGAAAAGATGAAGGGGGGTAGCTTTCTCTCATGTAAGTTGGTCATAGCGTGTTAAGAACAAATTTTGAAATACTGTTGTTTTTTTAAATGACTTAAGGAATTTCTAGACACTTTTTACTTAAAGTGATAATAGTTTATATCTTATTGTCTATATAGAGATATAGATCCTTTATATATAAAATATTAGCTTTGTAAATAATGTTAATATGTATTATATTTATACAAAATAAATTTACTATATCTACTTTTGGTGTGATGATATCTTTTAAACCATAACTTTTTTTGAGAGTCACACATTTAAAGATGACCTCACTGACCTGTTTTCCTGAAGCATAATTAGGGCAAGCTCTTCTTCACCCACAAATGATGTTCCCAAAATGGCTTCTACTCCCAAGTTTTAGTAAGTCTACTTATTGTGACTTAAGTGAATTAATTGGATTGACTGTAGGTAAGCACAGGCATCCACACAGGCATGCATATTAGCCAGTGAGAATAGAGAAAAGGTCTCAGATTGCCTTTTTCTATCTTTCAAAGTATACCTTCTTAACTTTCACGTTTGGGACCAACTTAAGGATTTGGGGGTGGAGGAAGGAGGGGCTGCCTTAAAACCACCAAACACACAAAAGATGATAAAAGGAAGAGGGGGGCTTTTAGAGAATGAGGCATAAAGCATATTTCCATGATTAGGGATTGCTGCATGCCCTTTTTCTGTCCAGGTACCTAGTTCCAGAGGGAAATGACAGAGGAGACATTCTCCTTCCCAGTGCACATTTGTTTTTCGTGACTTGGGTTTCTGGCCTGAATCCGTGACGGCTTTTCTAGTGCCAACCAATACACTACTACAGAAATTTCGAGGACCTCTTCTGTTAAAGTCCAAACCACGCAGTTCTTTGCACACAGGGCAGCTCTTCCTGCCACACCTCTATGCCCTTGGGTACTCCTGTCAGAATGCGACGTTCAGTCCGTCAATGCTTCTCTTATTTCACCAGGCTTTATTGACCATCAGGAATTGTTCTGCACGCTTGGGAACACACTGCTGAGCAAAACGGACAAAAACCAGCCTTCAGGAAGCTTAAGTTCTGATTACATTATATTCTTGCTTCATTTAGCCATTATACCTATGTACTCACAAGAGCTGATAAGTAAAACTTTGCTTTGCTCTACAGGATTCTGCCCTAGCTTGTCGTTTTAATTAATGAAACTATCTTATTGGGATCTGCCCAGACTCGTTAGTCCTCTAATAAACCTTAGAGTTTAAGGTAAGAGCCTATAACAGAGCCTAGTTTTCCAAAATTTAGAAACCTGTCTAAAACTGATGATCCATTATTACTGAACTGAAACGTTCTCAAAACTTCCTTTAACCACACGGCCTTTGGCAAACAGTACGCTAAGCGCACGCGGCTTCTCCAAGCGCCCGACAGGCGCGCGCAGCCCTGCGGGGCAGGCTCCCTCCAAGCCGACAGAGGGCAGCCGACTTGCACAGCAACGTCACGACCTCGCCGCTTCTCCACACCACTAGTGCGCAGGCGCGGGCGGGAGCGCGCAACGCGGAGCCGAAGGAGGGGTCACGAACTCTGACCCCCCCAAATACACAAACCCAGAAAGCTCCCTGCCCCCACTTTTCTTTACCCTCCCCCCTTCAGCTTTCTCCAAGCTGTCTGTTCCCGGAGGGCCCCCAGCAGCCGCTGCCGCGGGACTGTCCGCTCTACGCCCGGCGCGGGACGTAGCGCGCGGAGAAGGGCCGGTAAGAAGTGCCGAGTGAGGAGAAAAGCGGCCGCGGCTGCGCCCGGGGCGGGGGACCGGGGTGTCCCTTCATCCCAACTGCCAACGGACGCGCCTCCAGGGCCCCCGAGCCTGCGGGCTCTGGGCGGCAGGGCCCGCCCGTCTGGCAGTGCCGCGCGGCGGCTCGGGTTGGGCTGGGAGAGCTGTGGGGCCGAGGCCGTCGCCGCGGGGCCGGGAGCCCGGAGAGGGGCTGGGGCGGCGGGCGCGGGAGGGAGGCCGCGAGCCTCGGCGCGCCCTGCAGCCTCTCCCGCGGCGCCTCTGACCTTTCACCTCCAGGAAAAGCTTCCGTCTCGGCGCCGCCGCCGCTTCCCCCGCCCCGTGGGCGCCCCGAGGCTCGGCGCTGGCGGACGCGGGAGAGGCCGGCCCCCGCCTCCAGGAGCGGCGAGCCGAGGCCCGAGGCCCCCTCCCCGAGGGCCTCCTGCTAACTCATGCTGACACAGGAGGGACGGAGCACCCCGCAACCTCCGCGGCAGATGGGGCGATGCCGGCCGCCGCCTGGGGACCTGTATCTTTTGAGGAAAAAACTGGCCGGGGCCGGGGTCCTGCCTGCGCGGGGCACGTCCCGGCTTCCAGGAGCTCTTTTGTTCGGAAACCCTGCCCCCAGCCCCTGCGGAGACCGTCCTGTGCGGTACACACGTTGCCAGGTTGTCTCATAACCTTCACGAAGTAGGTCAGCCGGTTTAAGAGAAAATAACTGGAAGGGAAAAGCAAAAAAAAAGACTTGAAAGGGAGCCCTTTGGGGTTTTGTGCCGCCGGAAGTTGTAAATAGACTTTCGACTTTGAGGTTTTAAAACAGTGTCTGCTGTGTGGGTGGTGGGTTGATGCACTTTGATTGTTTTTAGATTTTGCTGATATATCCAGTTGGTAGATCTAAAATATATTCCTATTTATTTCTTATAAAGAAGTGGGTGGCATGAAGTGTAACTAATTTCATCATTCTTTGTAGGGGCATTTCAGCCTTCTTTTGGGAAGGATTTTGAGAGAGACACAAATCAAAGGCCACAAACATTCCCCAAATATCTCTCTTGTCTGCCACGCAGAGTATAATTCCCACCCTTGGGGAATAGAAAAGACAAAAAAGCAACATACAATAAGTAATTAATAGTATCAATATAATTCTTTGCCTTTTTTGAGTCATAGGACCCTCTGCAACCTCTTGAAATCTTTTATGGAAAAATGCACCTTTATGTAAAATTTTGCATACAACATCAGAAGTTAACAGAAGTTTGTTCGTGAATCCTAGTTAACCATCTTAGTACACATAGTAAATGCTGGACCTTGCTAGAAAGATCGGATTAAAAAAAAAATTAGGGGGCCGGCCCAGTGGCATAGTGGTTAAGTTCCAGCCCGGCGTTCGCAGGTTTGATCCTGGGCACAGACCTGGCACCACTGGTCCAGCCACACTGTGGCGGCATCCCACGTACAAAATAGAAGAAGATGGGCACCGATGTTAGCTCAGGGCCAGTCTTCCTCACAAAAAAGAAAATTTGAAATGAGCCTTAAAGGTCAGGTGGAATTTAAATAAGGGAGGAGGAGCTTTGAATGGTATATCGGGGAATAAAGAACACCGCAGTTTGACCTGAGGAGAAGTCCCTCTTGGAACTGAGAGGAGATAAAATGGGAAAATGAGGAAGTCAAACTATAAAGGAGCTCTCCTTTCTGTCCACAGTGCCAGGCAGATTATAGAGGCTGAATAAATACTGAAAAAATACCAAAAGGAGGACTGAAACTTTATTCTTTAGCCATTAAGGAGATGCTGATGGTTCTGAAGCAGGAGACTAAGCATGTGTTGTCCGTTCAGTAAGCGTCCTGAGATCTGGCTACTTGTGAAAGCTGCTGACAAAAAGATGGGTTTTCCCTCCTTGGGACTTGGAATATACACCGAGATGGTTCTTGCCTTCTAGGGACTTTGCATATACACAAAGTTGCATATATTAAATAAACATTTAGGAAATTCAGTGCTGGCAGTAGCTGAAATTTTACCCCAAGGATTCTTGAAGGCCTTGGACTGGCCATAGGAGGTTTTATGAACTCCTTGAAATTCAGCATATACCATCATTTGTAGTGTGAATGAATGTGAACTTGTGTTTTCTGGTAAGGGAAACTTTAAGTTCCATCAGATTTTCAAAAAGATGTTTGACCCACTCTCCACTGAAAAAAAAAAAAGAATCATTGTTTTATATCATATTTTCAAACATTTTGACTACACCTCACAGAAAGAAATACATTTGCTGCATGACTCAGCACACTCATACACACAGATTAAATTGAAATAAAGTCTTCAAAAGACTGTTCTTGGGCCACCCTGGTGGCACAGCGGTTAAGTTTGTAGGTTCTGCTTCGGTGGCCCAGGATTCACCGGTTCGGATCCCAGGTGTGGAGCTATGCACTGCTTGGCACGCCATGCTGTGGTAGGCGTCCCACATATAAAGTAGAAGAAGGTGGGCATAGATGTTAGCTCAGGGCCAGTCTTCCTCAGCAAAAAGAGGAAGATTGATGGCAGATGTTAGCTCAGGGCTAATCTTCCTCAAAAAAAAAAGTGTTCTTACCCTCACTGTACCCGATGCACTGTTTTCTGTTTTCCCTTTTTTAAAAAAAAATCTGACCTAAATTAGTTTCCCCATCCATAAGTGGCTCACAACACAAAGTTTACAAAATACTACTTTGGTTGACAACAGCCTACATTCAGTTGATGGGACTGTGACCGGTGGGGAAAGGGTTGAGGGGAGAGCGCATGTTGGGAAAAGAAAATGAACTGTATGTAATGTTATCAAAGGGCACAGTCTTAAAATTTTGAATCTGAATGAAAGAAGGATGGCACCATTGACACTAGAAATTTTTCTTTTCTATGGGGTAGATATGTAAAATTGAGATTAAGGTAAATGTGAAAAAAATCAGGGCCAAAAATGTAGGACTGTGTGTCTTTTGTATCTTAATTAGCTCTAGAGTAGTAAAGGCAGTGTCCTCGAGCTTTTTGCTTTGTCCTTCAGGCTAGTAAAAATACTTATCCTTCAGTGCCCAACTCAGATGTCTCTTCTGTAAGGTGTTCCCAGACCCTTCTTCTCCAGTGTAGTGGTTCTTCTGGGATCCTGTTGTTCATTTATTGAGTACTTTTTGTTCATTCAGCTAGCTTTCAAGGACTGCCTCGTACCTGTAAGAGACTGTTAGCCATTGCTTTAGATATTTTCACTTACATTGAATTTTTACGACATTTTGAGGTAGATTTTATTGAATCCATTCCATTTATTAGGAGACTCAGCTCAGATTAAGTGACTGACATAAAGTCATGCATAAAAATGGAATTGGAGCCCTGATGGATTGATTTAAGGTCCAAGACACTCTACTACCTGTATAAGCTCCCTCCCTCTGTTTCTCTATGTATTAGTCCATCTTAGTTTGCTTCATAACATTTAGTACATGGTAATTTAAAAAAATTTGTTTTCTCACTAAAACATAAGTTCATAGGGCAGAGATCTTTTCTATCTTGTTCAGTGTCAAGTCCCAGAGTCTCACAGTGCCTCATAGAATGTTTCAGTAATTACTTACTTGAGTTAAGATAGGGGTACGAGGCACTAACAATATAGGTTCACTGAAAAATTTAGTTCATTGAGGAACTACACACTTCTTTTCCTTAGAAGTCTGTTATTGGAGATGGTGATTTACTCAAATAAGGGCAGGGTGCTTCAGAAGATAAATGGCACAAGATAACAGTAGACTACAGATGAAGGAATGCTTGCTTTTCTGATTGCAATAATAGATACCCATTTAAAAAGCATAAAGAAGAAAATAAGTGGCCCATAAATCTCCACCTAGAAAAGTCACCATTAACATTTGAAAATGTTTATTTTTAGTCCTTTGGTGTTTTGCATAGTTAAAATTGCAAATAAATTGCAAATAAAATTTTGTTTCTTGATCTTTTTATTTAGTTTGTTGTAAGCATTTTTTTCTTCATCATTAAACGTTTTTCTTATGCATGATTTTAACGCGAATTTTTCTTTGCACAATTCTTTGTCCTTTTTCTTTACTAAATTGTCACCTCAGTAAGGCCATCTCTGACCTCTTATTAAACATTGCAACCCTCCCAACCCCCCAACATTTTCTGTTACTAGTGCCTGTTCTGTTTTCCTCCATTTCTCTTTTCACCATTTGGTGATATTTTATATTTTATTTATTGTCTGTTTCATCCCACCAAAATGTAAACTTCACAAGGGAAAATTTGTTTTAATACTCCCTACTGTATTGCTAACACTTAGAAAAATTCCTGACCCTTGGTAAACACTCAACAAGTATTTGTTGAATGAAAGAAGAATGTTGAATTATTGGGTTAATGAGTATGAACTTTTTTTTTTTTTTTTGGAATTACCAGCATTATAATAGGTATTCTTTGGAAACTATCTGCAGTCTTTAGCATGGCTGACGGGTGGTGTAGGTCTGTGCCTGGGATCCAAACCTGTGAATTCCAGCCACCAAAGCGGAGCATGCGGAACTTAATTGCTATGCCACAGGGCCAGCCCCTCAGTATGAACATTTTTAAGGCTCTTGATAGACATTGGCAAATTGCTTTTCTAGGAAGGTTATAACAGTTCATTTAATCTTCCATCAACAATATGTAAGTAATGCCTGTTTTGTCTCATTTTTGGAGTTAAATTTAGTCTTGGAAAACAAGCATATATTGGTCTAGTGATTTTGTAGCATTCATGGTAGAGAGAACATATACAGGAAGAGTTTTGATGTTGGAGAATATAAGCAGCCATGTTCAGAGGACTACAACATTAGTAGTACCCTTGAGATCTGTATATAGTGTTATAGCTGGTATGCATAATATACAAGATACTTAGTTTTATGCTCATTTGCCTATTTTTAGAATAGTGTACTGCCTTTGTAAAGAATAATGATTCCTTTTAAATTTCATTTTATTTAGAAAACATTCAAGACTGTGTATCTCTTTTCCCTGTTACTGAATCTACCCTCATAAGCCTCATTTTTTAGCTTCCCTTTAAAGCTGGCAATAAAATATGGACTGGTCACACAAAACTATTGTGATTCTTTTTGAACTCTGTCAGTAGTCCCTCTCCATCAAGAAGATTCTGTATATCAGTACATCAGAGTAACTGGTAATCCCTGATATCTTTTGTTTCATGAGAAAGTATAACAGCCTCTAGTCCTTAAGACTCCAGGACTCAAGTTTTTAACACTGAGGATTGCAGGGCTGCATTGCCCTCACTCCTTATGCCTTTTTACCAACTTAAAAAAACGAAAAAGGTTTTGGTGTGTTTGAAAAAAAATTCATCAATATTTTATTTTGTGAATTCTCTGGAAACTTTAGAGGTTATTTAAAACAACAGCTATAAAACTAACTTTGTCGTTTACTAAACTACTCACAAATCAAGAAATTAGAAGGACCTCGATCTGGAAGTAGCCAAAAGTAGACCTCATGATAAAGTATTGTATAAGAATAAGATTTTTTTTTCCTCTCTTCTTTTTGGAATTTCTTCAGCTGACAACAGAGCATTGAAGTCAATGCTGAATTAAATTTTTTGCATAGCTCAGTAGTCTTCAGTGGACTTCTGGTAGAAGAGTTCTGTCTATCAGTAGTAGTGGAAACAAGTTGAACTGGTTGCCTGGCTCATGATGATTGTATCAGTAACCCCGTCTATGCTGAGCCC